GACTCGGAGTGCAGCGTTGACCATAGCCGGGCTTAGCGCCTGGAAACCCGGCTCTGTAACGGCAACCCTATCCAGAGGCTGGGAAATTGCCTTTTCGGTGGCGATTTTCAGTTCTTGGAGTAAATCACTAATAATTTCGACACCATCTGCTTTTATCGGTCGGCCTAGTTTCACGTTCAGCCAACGCCACCAGTCTCTCCAGGGCGACCAGACGCTCGGGAAGAGATATTCCACTAAGCAGGATGGAAGTTCGTGCATAAAATTTCGAGTTGATTGCAGTACTGGCTTAGATGTAGCGAGGCGTGCCATAAGCTCGAGGTATTCCGGATTCCCCCGAATCTTGGCAACCTCGACAACAGTTCCATTGTAATAATCCACCACGGCCGTCCTGGATGCTATCAGATATTTGCCTTTGTAATAAACAAAGGACCGATATACTTACCCATATAGAGGTGTCAGATCGAAGCCAACCCCGGGTGCATCGTGAATAGTCACGGGTAGGCATGTGTCACACCATGTACCGATACAATCGGAATCAGCACTCACAAGAGACACGAAGTGTGTCAAGGAGCACATCCACCACAGAAGTCTCATGGTCATGGGGTTAATACAGAATCTCTTGTGAGAGGGAGGTTGGGGATCAGTACGTCTTAAACGTCGAATAGCGTCAGATCGTTGTCTGCTGTCAAATACCAGTTTCTATCGACCAAGGACGATATCGAAAATTCTGTCTTTCATTACCCCATGCCCGAACCGTGGGCGCTAGGTGACCACCACATTAGACATGCTGTTGTATGTTTCTTTTTGTTTCTAGTTTTTGAATTCTTCCTGGAAAGTCCCCTTCTACTCTTCAGCCCATTCACCTGAATCCCCTGAACACCACTATTCTACAGCTGAATATCCTGCACGCCCCTGAACCGCTGGCGTGTCCTTTCCCTCCCATGCTGATTTTTTTCTCACAGGTCTGCTGTTTTGATCACTTGATCACGGAGGCTGTCGCTGAGCCCTTACTCGAGAAGGGCGCTAATCTTGAGTCGAAATATGAGGATGGCCTAACGCCACCGTTACTAGGTATACAGTACAGGCTCGAGGCTTTCGTCCAACTACCACTCGAGCAAGGCACTGATCTCGGGTCGAAAGATAAGTATAGTTGGACATCACTATCATATGCCGCAGAGCATTGGGACGAGGGGACTTTGCCAGCGTTTGGCTGCATCTGGAGCTTGTGTTACACCGCATCCGCTTTGGTGACCTCTCCATCCACGGTTTTATAAATCTGCATATTATTGTGATGTGAGGCCGGTGCAGACCTGTAACGGAGTTGTACCATCAAAAACATTCCTACGCGCCTATATAAAGAACCAAGCTGGACGGAAACACTACACATTTGCCTCCCAGCTGGAGGCGTAGGTCGACCGCCAGATTGATAACGCCTGCCCTTGAGGAAGACCAAGAGTCCGGAGTACTGGGTGAACGACTGGCTAGGTGAAAGATCCCAGTGGTCCATTGAGGGAATGCCTCACGTGAACCAATCGGCATGGATGCAGATCGGATGTCGATCTTAGTCTATACTGTTGTACCAAAGTTTGCTAGCATATAATACTATAGATTGTTTCACTGATTGTATTCCATTTGCCTTGAATTACATAACATACGGATCAGAACAGATCAAGATAGAAGGGACTTTTGCAGCATCAACACTGTACAATCTGTGACATCTGATGCTGCAAAAGGTAGAAGAATAGGATATTGGCCAAGGCATAATGGAGTTCGTCACAGGACAGCATTAAGCTTAGATACAGGGAATCAAAAATAGATAACAGGCACAATGGGAAAGTAGTGCCGTAATTTTGTCAGTCGTGCAGGGATCGAGAGTCGCGATCACGAAAACGAAAAAAAAAGGAATGTGGTGGTTGCCGAAAAAAAAATAACGCTCAAATGAATGCACAGATATTCAATCTATAATGAACGGAGAGTATGGGTGTGAAAACGCCCGAAAAGAAAAAGCAAATTTTGCAACCGAAGAAAAACGCAACCCTGAGCTCGCATACCCTGTCCATAGCGCCTGAGAAAAGCATGAAGATCGTACAAGATTTACACTTCGAGTAGTGTCAAGTCAAAACAGTACGCTTAGAAGTTAGACGCCGCGTTGACAGGACCAGGGTTGTGATACTGGTCTAGTGTGTTCTTGAAGGGGGTGTTGCCGGCCGGACTGGGGGCCTTCTCACGAGGACCGGAACCCACAGCGGTGCCACCCATCAGATCGTCCTCGTCACCGAATTGCTCATTGCGCTTCTTGTGGATTCTCCAGAAGACCAAGCCCAAGGCACCAATAAGGATGGCACCGCCGACACCCACCACGACACCGATGATGATCTTCTTGTCCGAAGAAGAGACACCGCTAGCGTCGGAGCCATGATCGGCGTTAAGGGAAGGTTCGGAAACAGGCGTGGAGGTGGTGGTCATCACGTTGGCGATGGTGGATCCATCACTGGTCGCGTAGGAAGTGATGGTCTTCACAACCGGGGTCTGGGTGGTAGTGGTGCTCTTAGACGAAGTGGTGCTATCGCCATCGGTACCTGGTGTGGGGGTGGGCTCAGGGTTTGAGGTGGTTGAAGGGACGGTGGGTTCGGGGGTGGATGAGGGCGATGCTGAACTGCTAGGATCGGTGCTAGGGCCGGTGGTAGGGTCAGTGGTGGAAGAAGCCGAGGTGGTAGAAGGTTCGGTGCTGGTAGTTGGTTCCGTAGAGGTCTCTTTAGAGGATGTGGAAGTTGATGAAGTTGACGGTGTTGTTTCAGGCGCTTCTGAAGTAGAGGAGGAAGTGGTCTCAGTGGTGAGATCCGACACAATTTTGGGAACACCAGCACTCTGGGCTGCGACCGCAGTCAACAGCAGAGCCTGTATGAAGAGCGAGAGGCTGGATAGACGCATGGTTGGGGATAACGAATGTGAATATGGAGTAACGAAAGGATCTGACCTGAAGTCAAGAGGATAAAGAGGAATAAGCAGGAAAATGAAAAAGGAGTCAAAGCGAAAAGGCGAGCCTTGGGCAGTGTTGTTTGTCCCGAACTTTGGCAGGCGCTAGTCCTGATTAGATTCCACTAGTCTCAGACTAAACCCACGCGCCGAGGAATCTGCGACTCTTATTGGCTAATGTTTCAATAGAAAACACGTTAGACTGGGTCGCCTGGACCTTTGACCGCTTGTGGTTACAATTGTCTTAAAATAAGATTTGATTTTTAACAAAATAAACCTTGAGAGTGGGATAGAAATGGGGAGCCTGGAGAGAAAAGGGACTCTTATAGGGACTCTTATACAGAATTCAGTGAGTAACTGAGTGAGTTAATGACATCCATGGATACCTATATAGCCCTAGAGATCAGAAGAAAAAAACTCTAAGCATGTGGGCTGAACATGTGTACGACGTGCCCCTCGCTTCCTCCCAGCGCTTCCTGCTCCATATTTAGCACATCTCCCATGATCTGCCTCTGATCTTCCACATTATTGGCATTGGCATAAAGCCGCTGTGTGACATCTTGCATAAATGCTACCCGGCTGTCACCACAAGTCGCCTAATGAATGGTTGACATCTTCCTACAGAATATCTGGTCTGCAGGGATTTTCGTGCTGTGCCATGTCGCACCAATCCCTCGGGTACCTGGCCGCCCCTTTTTTCGACTCGTCTTTTCATAAAAAGCCGGCATAGCCGGAGTTGACCTGAAAATTGGAGTCATTTTGCCCCTAAGCCGAATTGGACAATGTGGCGTGCCGCTGACAGCCTACGCTCCGGGGTTCCCTTCTGCCCAGGTGTCCAGGTGGGACCTTTTAGGATCTGCTCAGGTCGGTCTACTCCGTATACAGTAGAGCTCTCCCCGATACCCTTTCTCCTTACTCTCCTTTGGATTCTTTTCCGAGAATGAAATTGTACGCCTCCAAGAAGTATCCTAGCCAAGATGAGCGGCTATGTATTGATCCCCGTTCTGACAGGCGTCAACAGACTGGTCAATCTCGACGTTCTCGCGTCCACAACATATTGCTTAGGTCTGAGGCAAATATACGGAGGATAGTAATTTTAGTTCAATGAAGTATTATTATTTATGACCATACAACGGAAGTTTGTTCCCTACGAGATGAGTCTTTCCCCTACTCCACGGCGCAACCGGAGCCCTACCTGCATGGCCACTTTCCTTATATTCATCGCATCTGCCCACATTTTCTTCACGTCTAGGTGGCTCTAATATTAATAGCGTATTTACTTTTACTATGTATTGAGTTAGTGAGATATGGTTCGGCCTTGTATTTGGAGATGTGGAGATTGTTCGAAGATTCAACAATGCGTCTGTGAGATTAGCGCAAGCCACCGCCGATTCGCTATATCTGGGACCTATCAAAGTAGATACAAAGCATCCTTTGGCATATAGAGAGGGCGCTCGGTCGAAGCTGTTTGGTATTACTATTTTGAAGTGTCGACAAAGGGGTCAACAGTGGATGCGCAGCCTCTACTTCAAGAATCTCTATTGCAACGCATAAATAGAAAGTTTAGCAGAGGCCGTATATTTGGATCTTGCTTTGTGGGTAACAAGTGGTAACAAGTGGAAGCTTTGATTTCTCGTGACAAAGGCCAAGTCTCCTATAATAGCCATACAATAAGGTAGAAATACATGTAGTACTTTTGTTTGTCTCAAGGTCTATGGTTTCTTTATTCATTCCAGGAATAGAGTCTCTCTTCCTTTGTTCTTACCTTTCGCTGATCAACAGCTCTGAATATAAATGCATTCTTCTTCTTCCTATCTCAACTCAACTTCAACAGCCTTATAACTTTCATACTACCCAGCTCCGTTCAGCATATCTGCAGCCCATTCAGCGTTCATCATTCCGCTTGAGAGCTTTCAGCATATTCAAAATTTAACATATGCGATAGGAGTCCATTGCACACTCAGCCTACCCCATCAACCCTTCGACAACTGAATTCTACCATCTCAAGTCTTACGAGAGAAAACATGACCGAGACACACTCTTCTGCCGAGGTCATCGCAGCCTCGCTCGCCGCCCTCGACGTCCAATACGAAAGCAAATTCAGGGATTACGATCTCTCAGCTGTTGCACATATTGTCGTCCAGTGAGTGCCGCTCCAAATGATGTGCACTTCCCTTAAGCTTGCAATGAGTTCTAACGTGAACTAGTCTATCTGATATAAACACCAGGAACATCATGAATTCTAATCCCGATATCTCTAATGAGTACGACAACGAAGGTTATTTGGATATTATCGGAAAAATTCTCTCCGTGACCTTCTTTGGAAACGAAAACCAGCTGGAATGGCTCGGCACCGAGCGCGTTGGTAGACGCAAGTTTGTTGCATTCACCAACATCAAAAATAAAGAGAAGTGGGTTCAGAATCAGAGCCCGAGACACGGAAAGCTGAAGGTGGTTGAGGTCATGTTCATGCGGACCAACCCTCGGGAAAAACAGAAGATCTTCTGGAGGCCTGCCAGAAAAATTGTCTTTCGTCGTGTTCGGATTAGAGCGCATAAGTCGGTTGAGAGGGCCCAGGGTCGAGTTGTGACAACACGAGCGGATGTGATTTCTCAGAAATTGGTCCAAAGACTGCGGAAGAGTTCAGCTTCAGCATGATCGGCTTGCTCTCCTTCTACCCATAGGGGTGTTTGAACGCGCGGGGAGGCTTTACTTCCCCGTCACCCGTTCCATCATGGAAGCCCTTCCAATATTGTGGCAGCTCGACACGCTCGGACGAGCTATGAACTGCCTCAGCAACCCTGCAAACCAGCCTCTTAAGTCTTCAGAACTTCATCAAAAACCAATTCCTTGATTGTGCGCACGCATCGGAATGCTTTGGTATTTGGGAATCAGGTTAGACTAGTAAAAATGGTCTGAAGTGATAGAATTCATCGTGATTGTACTCTTTCTGTATATACTCTGCCAGAGCGAATAATCTGCTCGGTGGTTTCATTTCCGCTGTGCAGCGATGTAAAAGTAGACCGGTCGTAACGATTCAGGGGAAGTTGCTATCAAGGTGCATCCAACGTGACAATCCTGCAGCACACCCTTGAGAGTAATCCCAAGACTCGGTATATATATGCCCCAGTTATTGGTCCCAGCCTGGCTGCATATATAAACAGCTGGAAATAGTAGAAGGGGCAAGTCAATGATTCAAATCAAGTTCACTCTGCGGATGAAACAAGGGATGCATCGCAGGGAGCGTGAAAGTGCATCCCACTGTATACCCGGTGTCGACACAAGCACCAAAAAGAGGCAAAAATCCAGATTCTCGCAAAGTAAAAGAAAAGCAGCGTATATCGTATTCAATGTGGGTATCATCAGTTTCCTTATCAAACAAGCGCCAGGGTATCAAAATTTGTTCCGCGGGTTTCCCTTCATCTGGTCCTTCAGCTCTTCCTTGAAATGGTCAAAGAATTTCCTGTACTCGAAATCTAATCAGAAAATGTCAGACATGCTATTCACCAAATGTTGCTACCAAGCATACCTTGTCCCTCGAGTTTGGTGCCTCCCTGCTCCTCTGGAGGCACCCCGTACCTGATATGTTGAACTTTTTGGTGAACTCGGCCCACCATACGATGGAAGATCGGACTTCGAAGAAGCTGTGTAGATGAGATTAGAATGCGAACTCAAGTGCAAATATATCATTATTGGGACAACGTACTCGAACGGTCAGCCAGACCTAATACGGGACAATGTCAGTGAAGATCGGAGTGGCGATAGCAAATGCACTTACCTCCATACTTCGGAGCAAGAGATTCAAAACCATCTTGCAGTTCTTCTAATATTCGACCATGGGGTTTCGAATGCAGCTGATATGGAAGAACAAGTCGAAGTTGAGATGGAAGAAGCCTGAACGATCCTGGGGTCTCGATCGTCATAAGGTTTTCTTAGTCATCCTCCCCGCGGGCCCCGCGAGCGAAGCTTTCCTGAATCATCCCCAGATCGTGAAGCATGACGGATTTACAACTTGGTTTATGACCGTCCTCGACACCCGAGTCACTTTTCAAACGGCTAGCGATGGTCGTGTGGCTTTGTCGACATCCTGCCTCCAAATCCTGACCATCACCGACGATGGCGAGTGGCGCTGAACAAACTTCACAAGTGGCTCAGTTCTTCGCTATCCATTTAAGAAAATAGGTTTTTCTCACGACGCCCAGAGAATGACCAAAGGTTGCTACACCTGCCGACGTCGTCGCATTATCTGCGACAATGGCCAACCCACCTGTCGAAAGTGTCGAGATGCGGGGAAAGAATGTCTGGGGTATCAGAAACCGCTCGTTTGGGTCAAGGGTGGTGTGGCTAGTCGAGGAAAGATGATGGGTCGCAGCTTTGATGACTTGGAAACACCGCCTAGCAAGCCAAAGCGGCAGCCAGCTACCCAAACGTGTGATTCGACTGCGACGAGCAGCGGATTCGGCTTTTTGTCTATCGCCGAATCCCCATCCGATGCCGAATCGCACAGCTCTGGGACTCAACCTAGTCCGGAGACTGATGGATGGGCTTTTGAAACGGATAATCCAACATTTGGGGGAGAAATTGCGCACTTTGGGGTCAATGCAGCCGAGGAACAGGACACCGCAGTTGTCCATGTTCCTCGGGGCACTCCTCCTGCTGACTATACTCCGACGCCATGGGGACTGGTAGATCCACTGCTCAAAGATCTCAGCCGGTTGTCAAGGTACTATGTACATCACTGTGAGATTTCCCCGATGCATCATCCGTGGCTTTGCTGACAATTACTCGTAAGACAACCAATATATGGTTAACGACTTCGCCCTTTACTCCCAACACAAAAATCCCTTCCGAGATCTTACTGCGCTGGTCAATCATTCTCCTGTTCTCGCCAGCAGCATCGCTGCCCTTGGGGCTGTTCATTGCTCCCTTGTATCAGAATCGGACTCATCTGTCCTACCATGGTCGTCGGGCAATCTATCGATGTCAGCAGAGGAGATTGAAGATATTGTTGCGCCGGCAAGTTCTCGAAAACCCACTTCCCAAGCCTATCATCATTTCTTGGAGTACAAGCAGCGTGCCCTACGCCAATTATCTATGGATCTCCATAACCCGGTGATGCAGAAGGACGGCAGGACCTTGGCTGCCATCGTCTTGCTTGCCTTCATAGACATATTTGAGTCCGGCAGCGGGGCCTGGAGTTATCATATCGAGGGCGCGAAGAAGCTTCTCAAGGACCGACCTGAAAATGGCCCGGGACAAGGAATTCTCGACGACCTGGACGCCTTTGCCCTTGACGGGTGTTTAATGTAAGTTCCAGGCTTTGGCTTGTAGCGAAAAGTATTTGCTGACGACACAGAATGGAAATCATGGGATCGACACTAGCTCGCCCAGGCGCGCTCTCAAAGCCCTTCTACTCCTCATCCATGGGCCCAGAGATCCTCAAACGCCTCGAAGAAAATTCTTGGGTCGGATGTCCCGCCTATCTCCTAGAAGTAATTTTCTTCCTCCACGCTCTGTGGTACCCAGACTCCGAAGTCGCAGCCATAAACCCCCAACCGACAGCGCTGCCAAGCACAATCCAACCCAGTCAGCCCCTGACCCTTGACTCATTCGCAAGTCTCCTCCAAGGAATCCGCGACTTCGACCCAATAGCTTGGAGCCAAGAAATGCAAAATGTCTTCTTCATCCCAAACCTGACCTACCGTCTCGCACTCGCAACCTCCTACCAAGACGCCGTCTACCTCTACACCAGCCGCCTCCTCTCACGCACCAGGGAAGGCTTCTCACCCCCATGGACAAACGTCGGCCTCCCGCTCGACCACAGACTTATCGCCACAAACCTCATCACGCAAATCTGCCTCATCCCGGATTCGGACCCCCACTTCAAATGCCTCATATGGCCCACCTTCATTGCTGGTGCGGAATGTCGCCCTTCGCAGCGGGGTCTTATCCTTGAAAAGCTCGGCTCGCTCTATGAGGCCCTGACGAGTGTTAATGTCCGCAATGCTGCGTGGGTCCTACGGCTCATGTGGCAGAAACAGGATCTCAAGCGCCGTGAGCGTCAGAATGTTTCCGGTGAGGAGGGCTATGATAATAATGATTACGATCTTGAGTTTGACTGGATCGAGGAGCTGGACCATACGCGCCTCGACTGGTTGTTCATCTAATCTGTGGAAAACAATGGAGATATATGGATAACCACGGGTGTTCCAAGGTGTCTCGCCTTTATGGCTAATGTATACTTGCACCTACCTATCTATATATACCTGCCAATTAATACATTGTTTAAGATCACTTTGCTTGGTATACGCAGTGTTTCATTATGACCCTCAACATATGTAAGGATTGTAGAGAGACGATAGAGCAATGATTTGGGAATAGGAAAATCGGGTATATGATCTCTCGGCCTAGAGCAAAGAAGAAGAGCAAGAAAGAAAAGAAGAGAGGAGAAACTGTATGCCAAGAGGAGAGGTAAGGGATGTAATTCGAAGAGGAATGAAGCAAGTAGAAGAAAATCACAACGAAAATGAGGTCAAACCAATATACCACTGCAAGGAAGACAATAGACGTAATGAGAAAGATGATGATATCGAAGGAAAGTATTGCTTTGTCCGAATTTGCCCTAAAAAGAAACAAGAGATATAAGAGAAAGAGGAGGGGAATGAGGATGCAGGCGTATCAGCCAGCCTTGATTGCATATTTTCAAAGACAACCAACAAGTCTCAAGAGAACCTGGTAACTTACCAGGAACCAGAGAAGAAAGAAGTGAAAAGAGCCGAACAGAAAATGTCTCGTTGTGATGCTTCAGGCCAAATCAGGGATATATAACAGCAGACGACATAGCAAACGACAAGGGAAAGGAAAATCGGTATTCTGAAACAGGCAAGTCAGGCAATGAAAGAACAAAGTATACGCTCCCTTCCAAATCTAAATGCAAGAAACATGTTTCCCTAGCGAAAAAAAACACAAACAAACAGAAGAACACGCTTGTCACTGGAATATGCGAAAGGTGGAAAAACCGATATGCTGGGATAAGTCCCATCTTTGTGCGAATGCCTGTGCATGGAAGAGAAATGGAAAAGAAAGAGAGCTGGAGACAGGTGGAGGCAGTTCTCCATATTCAAATGATGAGATAGTGAGGTGCGAGGTAGAGCAGCAGGTAAGTACAGGAAAGTCGGTTTGATACCGACAGCACTGCCAGGCAACTTGGCACGGGTGGATATATGGATCGCAAGATGCGTAGTTCTTATACGAGGTCACTAGAACACCGCAGCCAGACCATTCTTCGAATGACGCTTGCTGAATCGTTTCCTTCCTTTTGTTGACTCGGTGTCGGTGGCCTGCTGTTTCACCAGGTGATTCCGACCAGATGGTGGGCCTCTATCCTCTTTCTGCATGTCAGAGCTGCGGTCTAGTGTATTGGCGGGACTAGGGAAACCAGAGGAAAGGTCTCGGAATGCATCATCGGAGAAGCCTGCACTTTGTTGCTGTGATGCCATCTCCCGGGACCTGTCCAATGCGTCCAGCCATTCTTGTACCTGGACCGCTGTGGCGGCGATGTTGCTTGATGATGGCTTGGGATCCTCGAAAACGTAATGTTTTTGTCTCTGAGGGGGTTTCGTTAGATGACCCATTTTGACTGACAAAAGGATGAACTACATACCGTGTCCACAATCCAGGATGAAATTCCTTTAGAATCCGTTGTGCTTCTGTAACTTGTCCCCGGAACAAGCAGGGGAATCTCAAGCTTGATCTTCTTATCATCACCACCCGACGCGGCCAGAATGACCCGCCCGGATGATGTGACCATTACCAACCGCTGTCGTTTCTTTGTGGCGCTTCCTGAGAAGAAACGAGAGAACTTCCTAGGCGCTTCAAACTCACCACTGCTGTTTTTGGACGTCGGGCTGTGTGAGGCAGCAGAAGACAGAACAACCAGATTACCCAGTTTCAAGATCCGCTCGTTGGATTTGCTTAGCACTGGTGACCATTCGATATCGAGCTGACTCGGCGGGGGTAGCTCGGTGACCATTCGTGGAAGCTGGCGGGAACTGGCACTTGGGGCGTTCGAGGGCGCAGTGGAGATGACTGGAGGCAGACTCTCTCCGTTTTTGTTGTCATTGAGCTTTATGGGCTCGCGTGCAGGGGGTACATAGGCCTTCAAGCGGGGTGCCTTCTGTTTCCATAGATCTGGACCCCATGTGATGCCGTCAAAGAATTCATGATTTTTGATGTGTTCGATCTGAAGACGCCGAGCGGGCTCTAGGACGAGAAGACGTTCCACAAGATCGCGTGCAACAGTAGGAAACCCAATTGGGAACTCGTAGTCGAGTGCTACGATTTTCTGGAATGTCTGGTACTCGTTTCCAGCCTTGAACGGTGGACGACCGGCCAAGAGCTGGTAGATGATACAACCAAAAGCCCAAAGGTCACTGGCTTTGCACGCATTTTTGTCAGTCAACAACTCAGGGCTGACATACTCCGCTGTGCCGACGAAAGAGCTCGCCCGCTCTTCCTGCGGAAGCTCTGCCGAGTCAAGAGGAAGAATGCCATTTGAACTGGAATCAACTCGTGGAGTCTTGAGCATCTTTGCCGTCCCAAAATCAGTGATCTTGACATGCATCCCGCTGTCAAGTAAGACATTCTCCGGCTTCAGGTCTCGGTGGATGACACCGCGCTTGTGCATGTAGTCTATCGTGTCAAGAATCTGGGCGCTGTAGAATCTTGTACACTCCTCGTCAAATGTAGTCATCCGTTTGAGAACACCGAGCAGTTCTCCTCCTTTGCACAGGTCTAGCACGAAATAGAGCGACTGCTCATCCTGGAAGGTATAATATAGCCGCACAATACCTGGGTGATCGGTGAGGCGGTTGAGTGTATCCTTCTCAATATTCACGTATTTAACCTTTCTCTCCTTGATTATGTGTCGTTTGTCAAGGATCTTAATCGCGTATTCCTTTAAAGTCTGCCGGTCCGTTGCAAAGACGACCGTACTGTACGAACCTTCGCCGAGAGTATTCCCAAATGAGAAATCTCGAACGCCCTTCTTGATATAGCGGGAGACAGTTTGGCCGTTGGCATCCACCTCCTGTCTCACGGAGACCGCAGCGCCACGCTCTTGCCAATCCTCGCTGCTCGCCATTGGGCCGTTTTCTGCCATGTAAGACGTTCGCGGCATCTGAGACGCGCCACCGCTTCTTGCTTGTGCTCGAGACGACTGACGCATCACCGCCGGGCCGTTTCCCGGGATCTGCGCGGTCCGGTAGGATCGGTCGCTGTGGGAGTTGTCGCGCGCCAGGACACCGGCATGTAATGCCGACGAGCCTCCTCGGGTGTCTAACCGCGCCTGAGATCCGGATTGCGATGAAGCACCGGAGTCGGTTCGAATACGGTATGTATTATCACGGGGGAGGACCGAGGTTGCTGAGCCATTCACGTATACGGAGGAAAGGGGTCGGTTGGGATTCGGAGGTGTTGAGAGGGGTGGAGCCGAGTACGGCTGGTATGTGCCTGATTGCACTGGTGGTATCTCTGTGGAGGCTTGGGAGAATGAAGTCTGACGATCGTCTATCACAGGGACTTCGATGGGTGCAGGAGGAAAGGCAGAGGGGTGTTCGTCATGTGCGGGATTGTGTTGTGTTGATACCGAACCGTCCGGCCCTCCGAACGGGCTGGAGCCTGTTGACCCAGCGGTCGCATCCTCCGTTGGGAGAGGCGAATCATCTGGATTGGCTATCCGAAGCCCTCCCAGAGCCTGGGACAGGTTGAGATCCCCGTTCATGGCGGAGATTTTGAGGGTTGGCAGCGACCGGAGATGTGCCGAGGGGTTCAGGGGAAGCAAGGTCGAAAGGTCAACGAAAGACAGGCTAACGGAAACACAGCGGATGCATGATCCGAGGAAGAGGTGGGGGAAAAAGACAGATGTGCGTGAGTGTGAGAGAGAGTCGACGTTGGAGAGAGGGGGGAAGGATCAACAGGAGGCTCCGTAGAAATTGGGTCTAGTGTCGAGGGGCTGAGCCTGAGTTGACTATTAATATTTCCTCCAGGGCTCTTCCTAGATAATCAGAGACTGAGAGAGATTCGGAGTCCAAAAAGAGATATATGCATGTTATTTTAATCCCTTTCAGTGGTGAGATGGAATGGGTATGTCTGATTTGTCCAGTTTCGAGTTGATATAGGATAGATTTACACCGTTTATATTGTACAGATTTACAGATTTATAGCATTTACCGGTTTATAGCATTTACTGATTTACTCTTACAGAGATCAAGGATCATTCGGTATTGCAATATGTGCTCGTCCGCATATCCTGGTCGAAGTTTCTTAAATTGTGAAGATACGCGACTTCCTCTAAGACACGATGTTTCTATGTACGGGACCTCCAGGGCTCTCTGTGCAACTGAACATAATTCATCCCTGAAAAGATGCTCAGGCGGCCCCCAACCATCATTGCCCTGGAGGAAAATGATGTTGAATATCACCTCCAGAGGATCTATATCCGTCATACCCTGTCTCTCGAATTCGAGCAGCTGCACTTAGACGAGAGCTGCGATGAAAGAGACGCATCTCCCAGTTCGTGTGTCTCTACGGAATCTGATGTGGACATTGACACCACAGGACTGAGTCAAGAAGGATTATGTCTTGAGCCTACTTCTCCAAGAAACAGGAGCTATGCTGCTACAGATGCAATTCCACACAATTCGGTGACTAAGTCATGCCTCAAATCCCCTATCTCAAATCAGTCCTCGTTACAAGTGGCAATTTCCACCAGAGTACATTCGCAGGCAGATCAGTCTGTTGACCCACCGCGACTGAAGGTGAAATTTGCGTTGTCACCGCAGGAACTCGAACTTCATAACAAGGCCCCTCTTGAAGAAGAAACAGGTACGTTAACCTCCCGAAGTCGAAAGTTCGGCTCCATCTAACGATCCCTTCCCCGGCAGACCGAGGTTGTCGCGGAGGAAACCATCGGCCAAGCCACACAGATGCTATATATACACCCATGTCTATTGACTCGCCAGCTTCGACGCCGCAGGTGTCATTCTTGTCGTGTGGTGTGTCGTCAAGTCCAGCCACCGCAAGTGTCCCACCCCGGGACCTAACCTTAGCATCCACTATGTCTTACGAGGCAGTCTCGCCTGCTCGTGCGGCCAATAGCATCGGCGAGGACCGTGGCTAGGAGCTCTATCGAGATATCGTGGATGCTTGAAATTGGTGGCTTTTTTCCCCTAGCGGTTTGCCCTCTTCGATTCCACTATGAGGTGTCCCAGTGGGGTTTCCATTGATAACAGTGGATTTTTATTGACCCAGTCAACTCTAACTCTGTATATGTATGGTATGATGTTTCTCGCACCAAGACCCAATGACCAATCCTAAGGGGAACAGATGGAAGTATGCAATAATATTTAATCCCCAATATGAAATACTGAACCAGCCTTCATGCATAAGCAGCTCCAAACCAACATGTCACAAGAAATATCAAAAATAACTCCCCAAGCCTCGGTCCAGACTACAATGTCTCACGTTAAAATGCAAAAGAAGCGATCTAGAATGTCAGTAAACAATTCAAATCTGAAACAACGATATCGGCAACCCAAATCTATCAATAGGTCAGTGGAGAAGAACCACAAACCTGGCTGCCTCCAAATCTGACGTGGCCCCGGCAGTGCCTTTAACCATTGACACATCTTACTATGACAATGGTGTGAAATTCCCGGCCTACGTCACTCCGCATTGATTATGCACTTTTCTTACTCGGACTCTTTTTTGCTTTTGCCTGCAGGAAAGGTTGGATTGAACTCCGTACATGTTCGATCCTCGATACGATTGGTGCGCGGTAGACCCACGTTGTTCTCTGCGCGGATCCACTACGCCGCGTAGACGAACCTTGAACTGCCTTGTGTTGCGGGAAATTTCTGTGTGTGGCTGATGGCGTCGAGACAGCGTTTTCCGGTAGGATGATCGTGTGGAACCCAAGGTTCCGCGATTCAAGGCGTTTGGGCTTCTGAGTTCATGGATGGGCATGGATCGGATAGAGAGGCTCTTGCGGTGTGTGTGGGTTAGTGATTGTCGGGTTGGTGATCTGCATTGTGGCGAGTGTAACTGGAGGGGGCAATGGTATTGGTGGGGTGTCGAGGTTGGATGGGAATGCCACGAAACACTCAACCCCTTATAGGGTGAGATCTGCCTAGTTCGGAGATTCCCAAGGTTGTCCCTCAAACGGCTTGACTGGATCGTCCAGGACTTCTCTGGTGAGGAGCCAAACGGTGCGGTGTGGCAAGGGTCACGTAAAATAGTCACGTGTTATTTATCGAAAAGGGAGTGCATTTTACTTGGGAAGGGAAGTGGTTCATCAGTCAACTGAATGAAATTAGAATGAGCAATCGCACATGTCAAGGCAGTCTAACAAAGTGTATCAAAAGCAAGCCCCAGCTCTCGGCTAATGGAAGAAGGAATAGGTAGATGATAAGGTGAAGAGGGTTGGATGGTGTTAAGTAACAAGATGAAACGCCAACAAAGACTGATCGTCTTCCAGATGCCGCTTCAAATGCTCTGTCGTGTATAGTTTTTCCATGGCGGTATGAGCTCGTTTCAATTGTATCAAAATAATGGAGAGGGGAAAAAAAAAGGACCCTTCACTTCAGACAAGAATGGTGGGACAAGTTAAAAAAGAAATAAGGGGGAATTATCTACTGCTTCTTGGCGAAAACCTGGGCACCGTCGACCAAGCGGCGCTCGGTGTTCTGGCGACCGTTAACAAAGTCGGGGTAGTTGAGGGTCAACTCAACAGCACCGTTGACAATGTTGTCAACAGCCTCGACACCGAGCATGAAGGAGTGGTCCTGGTTGCCAACCTCGTAGCGCCAGCTGCCGAAGCGGCCACGGGACCAGATACCCTTCTCCTGGAGCTTGGGGAGAATCTGGGTGAGGGCACCCTCACGCTCCAGGGTGGGAGTAGGGTAACCGTGGTCGAAGCGGCGGTGGTAGGTGGAGACGATCTCATCACCGGGCTGGAGCATCTGGGTGTTGACGAGACCCTGGATAGACTCGGCAAGAAGGGTCTCGTTGTTGACGGGCTTCATGGAAGATTCGGAAACCTCCAACATGACGGACCAGTAGGGACCGTCCTGAGGCTCGGTGCTCTTGGGCTTGGAGCCGTCAGCGAGCTGAATGGTGGGCAACTTCTTGGAGGCCTCAGGCTGGTTGTAGGGGGAGTAGTTGGAGAAGATGGTGGCACGGTAGAATGGGCAGTCATTCTCGGGGAAGTACAGCCAGCACTTGTCGCCGATGCGGTCGGGACGGGCACCACGGATACCAACACCGATAACGTGGGTGGAGGAGTAGAAGAGCTGCTTGGTGAGGGGCATGAGCTCAGTGTCGTTCATAGCCTCGGCGAGGTAGTCGACGGCCATGGTGGAGACCAGCTTTCCGTAACCAATGGTGGTGCCATCGGCGAGAGTGACGGTCTTGTTGTAGGCGTTGACCTTCTCGACCTTGTTCTTGGGGCCGTAGCGGGTGTTCTCCTTGGGGAGAGTGTTGGCAACAGCAATCCAGATACCACCGGTACCATCGCGGGCGGGGAAACGGAAAGTAGCGTTGGGACCCCAGTTACCAGCGGTCTTGTTGAGGATGACGTTGGTGGTCACGGCCTTGACGTTGGGGGCAGCGACACGCTCACCGAGCCAAGCGCATTGCATCTAAACATAATTGATCAGCATCGTTTCGGTCTTCCCAGTGAAAAAAGAAGTCAAACTTACCTTGGTGGTGGGAACGGCCCAGACCTTGTAGTTGTAGGGTCTCATGAAGAGGTCGGCAATACCAGTACCCATCATGCGGACGATCCACTCGTCGAAATCCTTGGGCTTGGTGTTGGAAACACGGGCTTCGAGAGCAGCGTCAATCATGCCGTCAATGCACTTCACCTGCTCCTCCTTGGGCAGCATGGAGATGTTGTTTTGGAAGGGGTAGGGAACCCATTGCTCCTGGCAGCGAACGTAGGAGATACGCTCGTGGGTGTACCAATCCTCCTCCTTGGGGAGGGCCTCGTCGATGCAGTCATCGAAGTACTTGTAGTGGGAGAAGATAACGTGACCGCCGACATCGTAAAGCTGTGGACTAGGTTAGCGGTGTAAACATTCAATTGAGACCAAGTCGCAACTTACGAAACCTTCGGGAGTAACATCAGTGGAAGCCAAACCACCGGGGGTCTCGTTTGAGTCGATAATCATCCACGAGGGGCCATTCTGTATACTCCATTAGCTTTTTGGTTCCCGGATACCCCTCCCCCTTTTTTTTTTGTGCCCCTCTCCGACACAGTAAATATTTCAGGGAAAGACTTACAATCTGGTTCAAACGCTTGGCGGCACCCAAACCAGTTGGGCCAGCACCAATGACGAGAACGTCAACAGAACTGTGAAGCAATTGTCAGAGATGACGGACGTTGATGGGTTATGAAACTTACATGTCGGGGTGGGTCATTCTGCCTTGTAAGAGGTCCTGAAAGCTGGGGACTCGTTTGAATGTCTTGCGGGCGACGTTCAGCATAGAAGCACAGCTGCAGGAATCTGCAGAATTTAAGAGGGGAATGAGGGATAATAAAGGGCAAGGAAGCGGAGGAACCAGAGAAGAAGGGGAAGTGGGAAGACAACGTGACCAGCCAAGCTAAGGGTATCTAGACGCACCTGGTTTTGTGGGTTGAACGGATCCGGTGGGGACGACGTGCCTGTTTCAGCTTTACTGATTCGTATTGATATTGGTTCTTTATTTGTTTTTATTCGGGCTTAATTTCCCTTTTTTTTTTCTTCTTTAACCTCAAATTAGGTCCTCCTATCACATCGACAAGCTCAATGGCAATTACAATTAGGTGCTCAGGGGGAGGCAGTGCTCCAGGGCTCAATCTTGGAGACAAGTACACTACGGAGCAAAGGAACACGTAAGGCAATCTCATCTCATCACACTATAATAAGGATCCTGGTCAAAACTGAACATATCACATTCAGTGCAAAGCCGTTATTGGTTTTGAGCTTATCATGATGCCGCTAAAAGCAGGGACCTGGAGTGCATGGAATCTGCATTCACCTTTCGCATGCGGGTGAGTCGATATTAGAATTGCCTTGGCGGGTATTGGAGGACATTCAGGGACTGGAATGCTTGTTATCATATCAATCCCATCTCGGAAATTTATTCTCGAAGAATCAAAAGAGAGGGAAAAAGGGGCGATATGGATAGGGGCAACCATTGAATCTCGATCCAATGTGGTCAGGCTAAAAGCGCCACCGATGTATGGTTAAATTAGTACACCATATTGTCTCGGTACTCCGTAGTTTGTGTGGACCTCCATCAAATGTGATTCTGCAACAAATGAGCCTGTCTTCGATTGTTAGAGATGGTGATCCAAGTTTCATCTACATCGATTTCCCCTGTGTATATATCGTACAACAACGATATACACCACACACACTGTACATCATACATACAGTATCCATGTGTATCACATGCACTAAATAACCAATATAATAGGGCAGTGAAAGGCAAACAGCTTGAATCCTCGGAGCAACATCCGCAGAGTTGATCGTCCTATCCGGCGGTCTCAAGGAGAGAACGGGATTTGCGAAACTTCTGGGCACTGGCATCTGGTTCCACTGATTGTCACTCCCAAGGGAGTAATACAGCGAGGATCTCTTCGCGCAAACAACCAATCTTGCTATTGATGGCCCCTGTAAGGAAAAACTTCTCGAATGACCGGAGAACAACTACCAATTGCCTCTTGAAACACCGACTTCCGTTAATACCAAAAGCTTAGGGGTCTTCTCCCCTCCCCCACCACCACTGGTCCAAGCATAATATACTTGTGGGGGCGGTAAGTCCCCTGATTGCGTCAGCACAGCCTTCAGAGGACGGATCGCCGCATTCTCCACCCGTAAGGGACCAGATGGACCATAGGGTCACTGAAGGCGGGTTCTTGTGGGCCTTGGCTGGCAGCTGCTTGCGTAATGCCGGTACTATTAATTTTGATCTGCGCTGCTTTGGTTTTCTATTTCAAACCAGTTGATTTAGGACAATCCGATAAGTGCCACTTTGATTTCAGACATACCTAGATACATATGTAGATATTGAATGTATGTGTGGGATTGAAATCTGATTTAAATTACATGTAAGGATAAGAGTGACTTGGGACAG